ATAAATAAATAAATAAATAAATAAATAAATAAATAAATAAATATATATATATATATATATATATATATATTGGAGCAACTGACTCTGCCTACTTGACATTTCATGTAAACATACTACTCATGCAGAGTCTGGAAACGCTTTAGCTTCTGCGTTTTCTGACAGGCCTTTCTTAACAGGTCATGATAGCATATTTGCCTACTATGATCTCCTCTACTGCTAATCTAAGCTTCGTTTTCCTATTCTCTTCTCATCCACACTTGGCAACATTTTTTCATTCTCTCGTTAAGAGCAATCTAGCCCTGCCAGTACACCGTTTTCTCTTCATTATACTCAAGTCTCGGCTTCTTTATCTGTGCCGGAGGAGATGACCATTTCTGGCATGGCGAAATCGTGCTACAGTCAGCTTAACAATCCTGACCATCGTGGAGTCTTGACGACGGAACAGCTGGAGCAGGAACGTCATCGTCTGGTGCAGGAGTTGGCCCGAGTTCGTGAAGTCTTCACGGCTCAAATCGAGGCGCTCATTGAGGAAAATAGACGTCTCAGACAGGTTAGTCTTACCATAGCCCTTTTCGAGGATGTATCCAAAATTGTTCAACTTTTGTTTCTGTATTTTTTCGACTATTCAGTATTGGTCATGCCCACCAGATTGTTTCTTTCATACCATTTATTGCTTTCTTATCCGTTTTTGTCTGTTTTTTTTCCACCTTATGCTCTCGCATGCACTCGCTGGAAGAGTAGATCGCCCAATCTCTGTCCGAAGGGAATCCATTTTATCACTTCGATTCGATGCTGTTCTTAACGAGGTTGTAGAACTTGAGTAAGAAAATTAGCCTCATTGCCACTCTTGGCACAAGCACTCGTCATTAAGTAAACCTAATTGGTCCGATAATTATTTCCGGCTGTAGTGAATATATTCACTATAATATGTAACATGAATAATATTTAAGACTGTCATTAACCCAGGACAACACTTAGCAAAGTGACCTCTTGATTAGTCAACCTGAATGGTCTCCAACCTAAACTACTGGAAGACAGAACTCGTATTCTACCGCGAATTTCGGTGTAAAGGATATAGATAGATAGACACTTTGTCTCCTATTTTTCCTACTCTACGAGCTTAGATTTTACAAAGATTAATTCCGTGTTGAATAGTTGGATTCTGTCTATCTCGAGTTGAAGAATTCAGGTTTAGCCTTCTTCATCTTCTTAAACTTGCTGGGGCTATCAATCAGTTTATCCATTCGATATGGATGATGTGGACCATTTTGGAGTGATATCAGCTTCAAAGGGACCTCAGGACACGAAACCCCGTGTTGATGGTGTTGAGGAAAATGCGAGTGTGATACAATTTTGCTTTCCGGCTTTATGATAATGTGTGTAACATTTTGTCATGAGAAAAAGGTCGACATTTTCTCAATTATTACTTATTTGCTCGCGAACAGCGCTTACAATGTTACCTGAATTGACGTGATGGGATGGCTAACTTTTATCTTTCAGAATGAATGCCTACCATCATCTGCAACTAGTCCTCTTCGTCTTATTTCCGCCTGCACGTTGGCGCATTGTCGATACCTGCATTTGCTCGGCTTTCTAAAAAGGGAAGAGCGAATCCACTTTTATTGTAGCCAATTAACCTATGAGTTCGGGTACTTAAATTAGGCTTATGATGCTTTCGATGGGCAGAAACATTATATTTGCTCCCAAAACGAATAGGCGTTTGACTCCACTTAATATATTAGTCTTGCTTTCTTATATGATTCATTCCATCCATCTTTCAGTGGCCAATTTTCGCATTAGCGATAAATAGTTTGCCAATTAAGATTTTCTACTGATACTTATTATTTTGCTTTGTAAGAGGATTTTCTGTTTTTGTTAAATATTAGCCATTTATTCGTTCTTTTCCCTCGGACTGAAACTAGCAAAAGTGCAAATAAATGTCTAACTTTTCTCAAATCTGCTGCAAATTCCTTGTCACATTTGGCGATTTATTGCGTCGTACACACTCAAAAAAGTGTCAGATTTATCATGTGTTAATCGGTCTTGAATAGAAGCTCATTATCCGCATTTTTCTGTAACGCCAGAGCACGGCTGATCGAAAGATTACGAGCAGCCACGGAGACTGAACACTTTCTGGGCCATCTGATGATTGCTTTTCTGGAGAAGCTGGATTCAAGCGGGTTTGGCCTCGAGCAGCCTGTTGATTGGCATACAGAAACATGATGGAATAGACTTCTAAGTTTACGATCCAGCTTAACGCTATCTGCTAGGCCGTAGAGTTTCAGTTTGCAATTTAGTTTATTACAATAAAATTGTGACTAGGCCAGCTCAACTCGTCGAATGCGCCTAGAGCCAGCCGTCTCGATTTGTCTCCTGATCTTGGGCCCACAACATATTCAATTAGTACAATTAATATGAGATGTATTCACTCAATTTTGTGTAACGTGATGAAGGTTTGGCAGAAGAAGAAATTTCCCACAATGATATGAGTTGAGCTGACGTTTACATTCAATTTCACAGAGCCTTGCTTTCCCAAAAGTTGTTCTCATCCAGATCAGCTCTACTCATGTCATTGTTGAAAAATTGTAATACCAGTCCTTCATCACCTTAAACAAAATTGGGTGAATACATCTCATATTATCATTTCATTCAATGCCTCAAGCAACATATGATGACCCAAGTTTTTAGTCAAGATCTAATGCCAGTCTCAACCCCTACTCATAACGAATATAAGTAACGTCTTTGATTTTGACGACAAAGCTGCAAGTTTGCCTCATCCGTAATCCCACAATAAAATGTGATTTAGAGGAGGCCTTGCTTATCTTGACGGCCTCATCTACTCTGTGATTTACGACTTCTTGGACTGAGCAACAGAGTGGTATCATGCCGCCAGGAGGCTTAGAAACCGGTTTCAAATCCAGTTTGCTGTGTTGATGAAGGTGATGAAGGACTGGTAGAAGAAGAATTTTCCCACAATGATATGAGTTGAGCTGACGTTTCTATTGCACTTCACATAGCCTTGCTTTCCCAAAAGTTTTTCCTCATCCAGGCACCAGTGGACTACAGTTTCCACCTCGCATCGATCTTATCAACACCCCCAACGGGAGTCGAACGGTGACAGTGCAGGATGGTAGCTTGACACGCCAACCACTCGGCTACACTGCCACGAGCGCCTTTTGGGTCAGAGGGCAAATGGGACTTTTCAAGGAAGGCCAGGCTTTTTTGCCATTTCATATTCTTTTTAATGGGATTGTCGATGAAGCAAACGTATAATTGCTATAACAATCGACTACATTACTTTATCTTTCGCATTAAGTATTGTTTCCAGATTACCAGTAAATCTGTAATATTAGATGATTTACTGGTAGTCTCGAAACAATACTTAATGCGAAAATATAGTACAATTAAGCACCGCGATTCTTCGTGGTTCATACAGCTGCGTTACACATATGAATTGATAACGACAATAAGGATTTAGTAAGCTTAGATTGTTCAAGGTGATTTAAGGATTGATAATTGGATTCTCCGATTATTTATACACACATATATATGTATATATGTATATGTATGTATATATGTATATATGCATATATTTATATGTATTTATATATGTATATATGTATATATGTTCTTATGCAAATATATATATATGTATCCATCCGGATAACAATGAAAGAAAGCACAATCTAGAGTCCGTTCCTCGAAGACTCCCTAAAAACAGGAG